TGTCAGGAAGGCTGGAGACCTAAATGGTGTTTTTCCTCCTCCACTCGCTCAGGTGCGGATTTGTTCTCCAACTGCACGGAGGAGTGTAAGGCCCTGGGCCACTCCGACCGCTGCTGGATGCCGAGCTTCATGCCCTCCGACGGGCGCCAGGGCCCAGACTACCGCAGCAACCTCCACGTGCCCGGCATGGACTCAGTCCCAGACACAGAGGTATTTGAAAACCCCGAGCAAACGGCCGATAGGTCATTCTCCACCTTTGGCAAAGAGACGCTTCTCAGTCACCAACACCTCCACCTCCACCACAACCACCATCACCTCTACCACCACCACCACCACCTCCACCACGGCTCCCTAGAGAGGAAAGAGTTGGAAGCATTTCTGCCGAGCTCCAGAGCTCCTTATAAGCCAGCTTACTTAAGTGAGTATTCTGCTCTGGCCTGAGTGGCCTCACTGCTCTCTGATCTGCTGATCAAATTAGGAGAGAAAAAAAGAAAAGAAAAGATTCCAAATTCAATTTTCTCCTCGGATTGGCTGGTGAAAGGAAGTGTGAAATTCATTTCAGGTCTGACCCCTGTTCCCTCAGCCCTCTTGTCAGAGTGTTTAACTAACTCTTCCCTCTTTCCAAAGCATCTCCATTATCTCCCCACTGCCATGATCTTATCCCTCCTCATTTCCACACAAACACAGACCTGCAGCTCTCTGGCCGGTGGGCTTCTCAGGTTGAACATGCCAAGAGCAGGTATGGCCTGAAGGCTGGCTTTGATGTGGGCGGAGATATGAGCGTTAGGAAGCCTCTGTTTCTTCTTCTTCTCCAATAGGAGGAGCACTGGCAGGGAAAGACGAGTGTTTGTAATGAAGGAAAACGTATTCAGCGAGCGTTCTCCTTCTCCGGACGTCACGCCGTTGGTTCAGGAGAAAAAGAAAGGAAAAGGCTTCCTCATGAATTATTGTTTCTAGACTCTCATTCAAAGGCCACAAAGAGACATATCCTCAATCACTGCAATTTGGCGATAATGCTTAATTATAATTTTGTCAAGCAGCGCCTGAAGAGGCCCCTCTCTCATCATCCAGCTCAGCTCGCTGCAATGATCAGACCGTCATTTAAAACCACAGCATGCTGCTGGGAGCAGCAGGAAGGATGCTCCCCATCCCCCTCTTTAAAAAACAGATTCCACATCACAAAGTTTGAGGATGTGAAGCGAGCAGCCACATGAAACATCACCGAGTGTGTGAAAGGCTGCGTGGAGGCAGGAGGAGGAGCAGGTACAGGACTCATGAATCCAGGCAGCAGAAGATGAGATAAAAAACAGAAAATAAATAAATTAGAATGTACATTTATGGAGATTTGAGGCGACGCTTGTCAACACACACACATCAGAGTTCACGTGTTAAATCCAATTTTATTTAGATTATCATAAAATCACAGCCTAATAAAATGAAGTCTTTGTTGTTTAGTGGCAAGAACACAGAATTTAATTCAACATAAAATATAAAAATGATAATAAAAATAATGACATAAAAATGATGATAAAATAATTCATGAACATGTTTTTTTTCTCTTTCATCCGACCTGTGGCTTAAACCAGATTAGTTTTTAGCTTCAGCTCGCTGTCTGTGCAATTAATCATTTTCTCTTTTGGCCGTATAAAAAATAAATAAAAATACATCGCAGAATATAAAAACAAGCGCTGTCGATGTGATAAGCAAAAGGAACGAGACGTGAAATGTGCTGATGACATCATAAAACTGAATCAACGGCATGTTTCACGATTAAAGTGGAGATTTATAAAAATAAAAGAAGAGCAAAGCGGCGAGCTGGAGGTTAAACCTCCGCCGTGGTTCTGACAGATCGTCCGGTGGTGAAAAGCTCCCGACGTCGGAGCGTTTCCCACAAACGCCGACACTCTGCACTGGCCTTTCAGAGCGCCTCGCCGGGGCTCGTATGCTAATGGCTGAGGGGGTGGGATGGATGATGGCGGAGGAGGGGAGGGATGGAAGGATGATACCGAGGCTGGAGCTCTAATCTGATGAGTGATACACAGAGGCTCTTTGTCCTGGGAGCTGGGCTGGGTGGATGGGAGGTCGGGCTCCGGCCGCCTCCTGCTTTTGCTCCGTCCTGAATAAATCGCTAATATTCCCCAGTTCACACCACCGCCCCCCACCGCCCCCTACTGGCCCCCTACCGCCCCCCACCGCCCCCAAATTATCCATGAGCCATTTCACAGGAGTGAATCCAAGCAGGGATGTCAGACTTCCTCCCCCCATGTGTGAATCCCCTAATTCTGTGTGAATGAGGCCATTTTAATGCTGCTTTCTTTTTTGTCTTCTGCCATAACTTCCCAGACACACACACACACACACACACACACACACACACACACACACACACACACACACAGCTAACCAGGCTTTGTGTTTTCTGTGCTTGCAGCGAGGAAAAGGGTTTGCTAGCTCCTTTCGCATGGACATACCGGAGACTGCGTGACTTTGCACAATCACTCCCTGAACAACCCGAGGCTGTAAAAAAATAGGAAAAAAAAGAAAAAGAAGAAGAAGAAAAAAGAAAAGCATCAAGTTTTCCACCCATGGTGTCCTCCCCTGCCCTCATCCCTCCTCACCCAACGAAAATGAAAAACACAAAAAACAAAAAAACAGAATTACACTTAAATACACACAAGATGAGGAAGTCAACATTCGCTCTTCCTGGAGCTACTCGGAGCACTGCCAGGTCCTCGGAGGCGTCCCGCCCTCGGGCTGAGGAGACGGTCGGAGGGGTGAGGCGGGGCGGGATGGATGCAGGCTGGCAGGTCAATGGCCTTACAGGGAGAACCCGTTGTCTCAGCAGGACTGAGAAGCTAACAGAGGAGGAAGCACGGCGACGGCGGAGAGGTGGAACTGGACTCTCTCTGCTTTTCCAATCTGTGTGTGCCTGTTTACAGCACTGATGTGTGACGTCTTTGAGGAGAATCAAACCGGACGAGGACGACACGGCACCGCCCAGAGGAACCGCCACTGAGCCCTTTAGGCGTTTGTACTCGCAGAGGTAGACGCCAAACTGTACAGGAGAATCTTTGTGCATTTGAAAATGCAATACCACTGTTTTAGATTTTTCTATTCTGTTCGTGTGGTCAGGTGTCTCTATTCCAATCTACTTCAATCTTTGTAAGAAAATATTGTGGGCAGGATTTATTTTTTATTTTGATTTTTTATTTTTAATTCTAAGTTGTTGGTTTTTTATTCTTTAGCTTTGGGTCGGTTCACCACATCGTGGGCTTGGACACTGTTGGGCCTGCAGCTTTCTGAATCTGAGGCATCAAGTAGTTTCTATCATGTGTGAGAAGTGTTTACTGTACTCTTTTAAAAAGTTTCAAGCTGAATATAAGACTCTCTATATAAATCTATCTATATCTACTCGTTCTGAAGGCGTGCTGTGTGTTTGCTGGGCTCCACATCCTGATGCTGACTGTTGTTTTTCCCAGTGGGAGACGTGAAGAGAGACAGAACAGCCTTAGCAGATGTAAAACTCAAGTTCTCATTGTTTGACATTATTTCATCTGATTTTGCTTTTACATTTGATTTTTTTTCCACTTTTGGATATCGATAAAGATCATGTCTATAAATAAAAAGGAGGTGATAATTTAGATTGAAGTCCATGCTAATTCTGTGTTATTGTAACCAAAACCTTTAAGGGGACATTCATGAAGAACACGTGACCGGATGCACTCAGTGGCGTCGGGATCCAGTATAAACACATTTCTTTCTCACACATTTACAAACACACCAGTAAGCCAACAATAAAAGGAAAAATGGTGAAAAGGACGGTCTGGCCTGCTTTTGTGTGGATGCATTTCTAGGCTGTGCAAACAAAAATAAAGTCCTGCTGGTCTGGTTACGGCACCAAGGTCGTTTTATTCTTGCCAAACGTGTCGTAGAGGAAGAACAGAGCGATTGTCCAACGCTGGCCCCGTTCAAAATGCACGAGAGCGCTTTGTTTAAATTACTACAGATTCATTAAAACCCAGGATGTGTGTGTTTCTACTCTCGGAGTCGCGGTGAGTCTCCTGGAAACATGACGACACAAAGCAACGTAAACATGTGAGGCAGCGGGAGGTGAGTGCATGTAGCGGTACTGTCCAGTCAGGAGGTTCTTCATGTGTGTGTTTTATGCTGGTTTGGATCCATCAGCCAGCTGGAACCAGTTCATATTTATATGTGGAGGAGAGTGAGCAGCACCAGAAACATGTCAACGTGTGATGAACGTCAGCAGCGTTCAGAGCGAGCAAAGAATCACATCCTTCCAGCTCTTTACACACATTTGGACTTCATGAGATGGAAACGAGACGCCACTTTTCTCGTTTTCCCAACAGATAAACTGTACATGAGGTCAGGTTGTTGTTGTTGTTGTTGTTGTTGTTGTTGTTGTCGTCGCGGTATCCGCAGCAGCGCAGCGTTTACCCTCATCGATGACGTGAATCAGTGCAGACTCGTGAACAGTTTGGTTGCTCAGAGGAAGATGATGACAATCAGGTTCTGGTGCATCCTGAAGCAGACGATGGCCTGCAGCCTCCAGCAGACGCCACGTCGTCATAGTTACAGGCTGATACTTCATACGACGCCTCCTCGTCAAGCTACTGACTGAACGTGTGATTAAAGCGCTCCAATCCCTACACTTGTGGCTACTTCCCCAGAACGTGTGGAAACAGGAAACGTGACCTCAATGCGTTGACTTAAAAATGATTTAAAAAACCCAAAACAAATGCTTTATCCTCCATCATGCTGACAGATTTACTTTAATCCACTCGTTCCATTTTACAACAGCGACGCAGATTTAGAGATCTTGTGTCTTTTTATCTTTCTGAAGTAGACGTCGCCGCTGTAATCCTGCGTAGATTATGGTATTTACAGACGGTGATGAAGCAGTAATGAGGTAGAGTTCAGACACACACTAAGTCATCTGTAGGCCGCTTAATCTCCTGCTACACGCTGAATATTCATCGATTTGCTCATCCAGCGCAGACAAAAGCCTCCAGTCTTTGTTGGCCCAAACTATAAATATTACAAGCAGCCCACAAATGAAATTTGTCAGTTTTCTTTGTTTTTTTTCCTTTTTCCTTTTTAACTTCGACTCGTATTCTGAAGTTAAATATAGGACGTCAAACAGCGAGCAGCGGCAGCGTGAAGAGTCGACCCCGGCCCTTTTGTTGGAGCGTAATGAGGGCAGAGCTATCGGAGCAGCGCCGTTTAGATTGAGGACAAAAGTTGAACAGAGAGCAACCGCGGTATAATCATATCTATTTTCTTGTTAAATGGAAGCTATTATGTTTGACCTCCACTTGACGCTAATCTCTGTCACAAACCGAAAAGTTTTAATTTTCATGTGCATTTGTGCACGCCAGACTCCAAATGAGAAAAACCATTAGAGTATAATGAAAGATAAATTAAGAACAAAAAAAGAGACTTACAATTCCCCAAACAAATGGGAGGACTGGCAGAGAGGCAGGCGGTGGAGGAACGTGTCCTCTCTTTCTATTTCCGGTGAGTCGGTGGTGGTGGTGGTGGTGGTGGTGGTGGTGGGGGGGGATGAGGGTAATTGCAATAGCGGGTTTCAAAGTCACTTCACAAAGGCAAAGCAGATTATAAGCAGGGCCTGAACTTTTTCCTGTCTCCTCTTTTGCAGATGCCAGCGGACAAAAAAATAGAAAAGAATCATCAATGGTTGAATTCCCGGTGGTGAGCGGTGGACGTGGAGGACAGCCCCCCCTAAACGCCTGATTATGGGCCTCATGTAGGTGGATGAGTGACGAGTCGGGTCAGGGAGGACAGAGAGACAGTCGTGTTCTGTTCTCTGGTTCTGTCCTCTGCCGGGCTCTGCTGCTGGTTAGGCTGCTGGAGGTCTTCGCTCTCACCAGTCCAACTTAGTTTGATGAACTCACTGGTTTGGTTCCAGTCTGTCGGTTCAATGATCTGATTTTATTTTCAGCTGGAACAAGAAGCCAGACCTTTCCCGACCCGCTGACCTCTCTCCAGCGCACCTCCGCCTCCTCTGAGGTGGAGCGGGGCTGATGGGAGGAGGAACAGGAGAGAGAATCCACAAACACATCAGCGGGTGGAGGGACCGTTCTTATCTCCTGTGTTTTTTATTGACGGTTTGCAGGTTGTGAATGCGTTCCAGTGAGAACACGTGTGAGGTTCTGACAGTCACGTCTTTGTGTTGTCCTGCAGACAGAACCTCTAACGATGACACGCTGTCAACATCCATTTTCACGTCGTTGTTTAACAGCATCACGCGGTGCCGTCTGCCTGATCACACCGGACCGTGTGCAGAGCTGACACGCAGGGTTTCAGAACTTCAGCTGGACACTGATTCTAATAAAAAGTAGAAATACAGGTGAGTTGCTCTCATGTCTGGAAACCCACTCTGGTGCCATGACACCCACATGAAGGGGCCCAACAGGGACCTGGAGCTGGAGCTGAAGATGAATCCGTGTTGAAGGAGACCCGTGTGGCCGTGAACAAGACGTTAGCCTCAGGAGAGCGACGTAGCTCCGTTTGACTCTAAAACTCTGGTTTTATTTTTGCAGACCTTTATTTAAATCTGGAGGAATCGTTCAGAATGACGTGTGCAGTCTCCAGAACCAGAACACTTTGAACCTGAAGTCAACGAAGCTTTGATGTTTGCTGCAGCACGTTGTGAGCGTGTGCAGTGCCCATGGCAACCAAGCAAAATCAAACACACGCAGAAAGTAGCTGCTTAAGTCTAATGAACTTTAATCACAACTAAACTGTTCAGAACTTAGAACCTAATCTGCTCTGCATCCCCCCGCCTCCTTGGAACATGACGTTTGTCACTCGTGACAGGATGTGATGCGTCTCTTCTGTCGCGCTGCCGTTACCGGTTTAAAAACTAAGCAAGAAGCTTGGTGTCGGCATTGTGTGATGGCTGATCACACCTCCAAGAAAAAAAGCCAAAGCATCCTCATAATGAGTCCCGATGAAGCCGCTTTCCACACGTATGGGATTAGCGTTCATTAGCTGAACCGCTAACCGTAGCTCTTCAATCGACCAGGAAACTTAAAAACGTCTGCGTCTGCGTCGTGGCCATCTTGTGTAGAGCTCGTATTTTTCCACAAGAAAAATAAATTGTTGATCAGTGAAACGGATCTGATTCTTAATTATCTTTTGCACGGAGGTTGTTTTTGTCCTGGCGGTGATTTATTGGGTAAAAACCGACTGAACGATGTAAAAATAACTGCCAGGAACAATTTAGAAAGTCAATCCATGATAAAAACACTCTTTGGAGAGCAGATTTTCAAACATGCTCCAACCGACAGTCAATGTTTAGACATGTTCACTTTTACAACCTGGTTTTCATCGACACCTTTTCCTCAAATATAACAAAGAACAAGTAAATGTTGTTTAAAGATGAATGAACAAAATGATGGAGTTGACTGTGGGTTACTGTGGGTTAGGGTTTACTAGGTCTAGTTTAAAGGGTTTTATTTTAATTCAGATGTCCTGGAATTAAAATTTTAAAGTTTGAAAAAAATCAGCATTTACACTATTATACATGTTACATAATATATGTTATAGTGTGTGTGTGTGTGTGTGTGTGTGTGTGTGTGTGTGTGTGTGTGCAGAACCGTCACTTTGAGAGAACAATAACTGC